TTAAAATTCGAAACATTATAAATAAAAATGAAAAAAAAATAAAAATAAATAAATAAATAAATATATGCTTAGATTATCTTATGCGTGCAACAAATCAAAAAAATGTAATTTGAGGAACATTATTTTTGATTAAGAAAACAAAATTAAATAGATTAAATAATAATTATTATTTATAAAATTTCGTGGCTGTCTTACCCGTCATCAGCAGCAGGAACAGCGATATGCATTGCCTTTGATTGAAACATTGAAGCAACATAATTTATAAATTTATTTTTAGTGAATTGAGAAGGAACTCTATAATTAGAGTTTAGACATTTTGTCTAGGATGACTTTAGCTTTTGCCTCGGCTAAAGACTTGTTGAGCACATTATTTATTAGTTAGCAAATAGTGGCGTTGAGTTTCAAGGAGACGGAGCCGGAGCCGGAGCCGAAGCAGGAGCAGGAGCAGCAGAGCACAAGATCGGATTCCACAAAACGAGGCAATTGACAACGGTCGACTGATGGCAGAGTCGGATGCTTAAAGGGTTTTTATAGCCGACAGGCGACGAGCACCTGTTGTCCCTGCTGCCTCGGCTGGCCAGGTGGCAGGAGGAGAGAGGGGGAGGCAGGCGACAGAGGGCAGGCAAGCAACTTCAACGGTTTTGGGGCATGCGCAAAAACTATCGCATTAGCTGCTTATTTGAAACGCAACTCGACTCGCCTCGACTTAACTCGCCTCGCTTTAGATATTGTCTAATATGCATGGCAATGGAGCAATTGGCCAATCCGCCGGTGGGTGGCATGGCCGACATCTGTGTGTGGCCATTTACCCGTTGAGCAGCACTTCGGCTTTAAGCGGCAATAAGGCTCAGGTGTGCCAAAAGGTATACAAGTGCAATTATCATACCCTATTGCGCAATGTGATATTCAGCTATTCAGATTTTCTACACACTGTGTTGCCCCTGGCGGCGCGACCGGTCCTGACCGTTAGCCTGACGTCAAAGGATTCATACTGCTTTGCGAATAAAAAAAAAACAAACTGAATTGAAAAAATTGTTTAGGATTTGCATAATTGTGTCAGTGGCTAGTGGTTTTTCTACCTTTTGTTCAGTTGCTTTGAGTCCAGCTTCCATCTAGACCTTGATGCTTGTTGCTGCTCCTGCTACTCCTGCTGCATTTACTTTACAACCTAATTAGATTTGTGGTTTGGTTCTTTGTGACGCGGTCGGCGAGCTAATGGTCAGTAAATGCAGCAACATTAGCAACAGCTACAGCAACAGCAACAACTGCAGCAACAGCTCTTGCAGCAGCAGCAGCAGCAGCAGCTCAAACTTTTGCAGCAAGCCATTTAAAAGTTTCAAACACTTTTGCTAATTTGTCTACTTTGAACTCATTTGCTTTTTTGTAAAACATTGTCACAGCGTTGTGCTTGACGTTTTTCAATTTTAATTGAATTTTCCCATGAATAATTAAATAATTTTTGCAAGTACCTAAAAGCATGCAACACTTTTTTGCATTCACTATGCAATGGCATTTGCATAACCTTTTAGCAGAGGCAGTTGGCGTCTACGTTATTGTGTTACAATTATGCCATAATTACATTTTGTATATTGTTTTAACTAATGAGTAGGCCAATATATACTTGTTTTTATTTATTGAAAAATACTATAAATGTTGGCTGGAAATATGGAAAGCTGTAGTAATTTAGACTGTGTATAAGACAATTGTCAGTAATAATGACCTTTTACAAACATATATATAGGAAGATATTTTTGGTTTATTTAATATTCAAATGGGGTTGTTTATATAGGTAACAATTATCCTTATTTGCTTAAATTTTTTTTTTTATTATTTTGTTTATTTTTTTTGTACACAAGTTAGTTAGCGCGCCCAAATGAGCAGAATAGTTAGACAATAAGCTCATAAACAGGTTACTGGAGTACCTCTTATTTCAATAAATAAAAAAAATAAATTACATCGTATTTCAAAACAGAAATTCCAGTAAAATTTAAAAGAACCGCCTGTAAACCGTGCACTTCTCACGAAAACAAGCACCCTGTTTGTCAAAGCTTTAAAAGCTTTACCCAATAGAACAGCAAGAATTCCAAGCTTGTTTTAGTCTCAGTGTAACATTACCATTTTGAGTATAACAGCAAAGCAGCGCTGTTAGCATTGTTTGTTATTTTTAAATGCCTAAGCGGCCTTTTCTTTATTTTGTATCAAAGAGAAATGTATAGTTTTCAAAGTATATAATAAGAACTTGTATTTTATTTTTATAAATCAGATTATTAAACACAAATGCAAGGACATGTTTTTTCAACGGCGACATTAGTCCAGGTGCTTTGTCCTGAATCCTTAATTTAATATGTCAATTCAAATAATGACTCATCGTCCTGTAGTAATCTATGTAATTGTTAGCATAAGAGTGGAGTAATAGCATAATTATATATTTAATGATGCTCGCTTAGCCATTGCCTGCCATGCTTCGCTCTACGCCTCTGGCTCACTTGCGCTCTCGATGAGTTACGCTGCCGCTGTCGACGTCGTTGTCTCTGGCTTCTCTGCATAAATGTTGCGCTCAGTCGCGTCTGAGCTTTGGTGCCGTTCAGTTGTAATCCGCGCAGAGTTCTCAAGCCTTAATTTTGTTCACGCGATGCTGGAAGCAACACAAATAATTGGCTAAATAACTGTTATAAATTTACGGTGTGTGTGAACGTGGTATCAAAAAGGATCAAGACTAAAATTTGAAGAAAAGCTAAAAAATAAATAAAAAAAGACAATTCAAGTGCCGTTATAGAATGCAAAATTCATAAATTTTAAATCCAAATAAACACAAAAACAAGGTGCGGCAGTAAGTTAGACTGTGAAAATTTTTTGGGTGTTGAGGGTGGAGTTGATGAATAACGGCACATGCCGCTGCACTGACCAAAAAGGAGATAGCAGAGTTGAAGTGAAAGAGAGTGAGGGAGAGCAGCCATGCGCAGACGCAACAAAAACAGAAAACGGCTGTTTTTCACAATTTTCCCGCGCTGTTGGCCGCAGGTTGACGACCCCCTACCAATATATATATATGAATGTATATATAGTAGATAGATGTATAATGAAAAAAGCCGGCATATTGCGAGCCGCGATAACAGCAGCAGCAGCAGTAGTCAATATTTGCGACCCAGTCTCACTCACTTTCGTTGCCGGGGTGAATGGAATGGGAATTGTTCTACTCTCTGCTCCGAACGGTCTTATTGACCATTGCCAGCCGAAATGGAGGTCGCAGCAGTTACAGAAGTTCCATTAATTGCGGCGCACGTTGCGTATACGTAACGCGCGTTAGATTTACCTGTGGGTTGTCTACCTGGTTGTTTAGCTGTCGCACTGGTTTGTGCGGAGACACCTACAACCACATTTCCCCATATTTGGAGCTGCTTCGAGTATTTCCATTCTGCCTAGCACGCATTGGCACTTGAGCGCGTGTTTGGGGGCGCTTCAAGAGCCCGCCAAGCGGTTCAATAAAGAATGTGCTAAACAATCGTGTTAGGAAGCTAAAAAAAGCGCAGAGTCAGGTAAACGAAATGAGGTTTTGGGTTGTCAAGTGGCGAAAAGAAATCATACTTCAACAGTTGCTCGAAATTTTGTTGTGCATGAATAAATTGTAAATAAATTAAGGTGGGAAAGTTCACTTTTTCTAAATGTGGATTTTTTTTCTGAATTTTTATTATGCCTTACAAGCTACCAAAAATTATTTAAAAATTTCATATATTTAGACAAAATTATTTATTGAAAATTAGTTAAATAAAAATATAAATGAATA